ATCTCACACTTCGAACTATTTGTCTGTTGTGTTGTTTGTGGTCTCTTCGGCGAGATAACACAAAAAAGGTTTCACTCGGAATGGAATTCATTGTAATATTTGTGGATATTTTGTTGCTTGTGCCATAACCTATTCACGAGTTCTTTGAACGGCCAACCGAGCCTTATTTATCGAACGGAGCGAAATGTTTCATGTTATTCTAATTTTTATTTGCGAGCAGGTGTAAATATATTTATGTGCGCGTTTCTTACCTTGCAGTAGTTAAATCGGCGATTCAGAAGTATGTGTACCAATATGGAGGTAACTAATTTTGTTCGCCTACTTTACATCAAGTTGTGTAACAGGACGGAAGCCTATGGGCAGGGGGTATATTCACTTGGCTAACACAGATAGTCCCCGAACTCGTAATAAAACTAAAACAAGTAAAATTGGAACAAAACTATGACCTAACCTGGCACACATACTACGGGAGTACCGTTAAATCAGCACATAATCTTAAACCGATAATTATTCAGCCTGAATAAAACGGGATTAAAATTTGATGTTCCAGAAGTGGAATTGCTCAAAATAGTTACGATTTATTCAAGTAGAATATAAAATTGATTGAATGTACATTGCAATGATTATCTTATATTTCCTTATAATCATCAGGGATAAATTCGTATGCGGATCCGCGTGTAATTTTAATAAGGCTAAATTGAAATATACAAAAGGTTGGTAAATTAACTTCAGAGTTTGTACACTGTTGTTATAGACGGTAATTTTAACAAGGCTAATTTGAAATATACAAAAGGTTGTTAAATTAACTTCAATATGTACAGTATTTGTATTGACGGCAATCGAGAGTATTTTGGAATCTTTTGTAGAAAGCCCTGTCCCGTTAGGGTTGGAGTAAAGAATACCGTTTGCACTGAAAATTCAAATCCTTCTCAAGCCTAACTGGACAATTACTAATTTGTTATTTCAAAACGTGGCGACGGTGTATTTTCCGAACCTTAATTTTTGCATTAGTGACGGGGGCTTTCTACAAAAGATAGGTATTTTGTGACGGTGCAAGACTCATAAAACAAAATATATGGTATTTTACTTTTTCTTCTCAGTGTGTATATGACAGGGTTTCAATTTGTTAACTTGTGTCTATTCCATGTGAAGACAAACAGGGTCGACTAATTGGATTAGCCTTGCTGTAAACTTACCTGGTATGTGGTAAACACGGAGTTGTTTGACGGGTTTTCTGCTAATTTAGCTGCGATGTTCATGGATAAGGATTTTATTAATAAGTTAGGGCAGGGTTGTGCAAACTGCGACCCGCGAGGAAAAACTGTGCGGCCCGCGGAGAAGTGTCAAATTGGAATAGTGTGCGCGCGAAACGAGTTTTAGTTTAGTTAATCTGGTACGTGCGAGCAATTCCAATCTCTTTGCGCCTCATAACCTATACCAAAACGTGAGTGCCATTGCTATATTAGCTAAACTAGCTAGCAAACACTGTTATGAAAACGTGTTTCTGAATGAAGTCGGTGTGAAAATAAAATTGAATAGCATTTTTTTATATATATATTTATGCGTTTTAACTCGCCATTTCTGCAGGGGCCCCTGACAATCCCGTAAGATCAATACCATAAAAAAACATTGTGCCTGCAACTCGGCCACTAGGAAGGCCATCTCAAATAAAAGTGAGGCCCGCGGCTTCGCCTAGTTACTTGTATCTGGCCATCCTGTAAAGAAGGTTGCGCAACCCCTGAGTTAATGGAAAGATCTAATTTTATTGTTAAAATCGAATCTCGCTTGGAAAATATTTGCTTGTGCCAGTTAATGCATTCACACTTTTTTTTATATTTCAAGTCGAAAAAGACAGAGTTACAGTAGAAACTTACAATTAGATATATCACCATATGTGATAATTAAGCACATTGTTTAATTTTTTTGCGCTCTCTACTTCTTCTTTTTGTCATCGATTAGCAAGAAATTTAGCAATGTTCAGATACGTTGGCAGAGGTATCAGATCAGGGTCGAATAAAACCAATCTTGCAGGTCACATACGCTTTCAAGATTATGATACAGATGATTTTACACTGTAATAAATGACACTTAACAGAACCTACAGACAAGTATACTTTCCATCTGTCAAATTCGTAGGTTTGAAACCATGAACTCCGCTATCTGCTTACTATAGGAATCTCCATTTCAGTATGCCATATTTAAAATAAATACCTTATAAAATATGCGACCTTTTGGTCGATCTGGGAACAACATATTTCTGTGTTTAAACTTATCGAGCATTCACGCACTGCACACCGTTATAAGACATGAGTTTCAATACTTATACGCAGTGTAGCTTTATGACATGTTAGCATGGAGATCACAGGAAACACAATATGAACAGCCGAGGTCTCAAACACCACACTGACAGGCCATGAAACACTGATATTATTACCCATACCGTTGCGGGGCAATATCTCTTACTTACGAAATGTCATTGGATATACATCGTTTGTTCGCTGACGCCAATCCGGACTTTTGAAAAGCACAGTAATTCGGTGACAGGATAAAGCACGTGGGAAATCTCATTCGGATCAGTACAGTCGTTTGGACGCTACAACTAGGTTACGAGACAGACTGACATAACGACGGTGAATAACACAAGGCGTCAAAATTTCAATGGCAGTGATGCGCCCCGAGAAACAGCACAGAGAATGGCATAAACTTATACCTACTTATACCTATACTGAAAAATTAAAAGTTCAACAAATTTAGATCGCCATAGCCGCCCAAGCAGGCTTTTTAGAGTATGTTCTGGATAGTCCTTGTAATCCAGTATGAAGCAACCGCCCTATATATAATGGTACGAATATGGTGAGAATGGTCTGATATCTAACACAAAGCATAGTGTCAGGGAATAATTGGATAAGATTGTGAGTAACGCTGTTTAGCTCGACTTGTCACCGCACCTCTAATTTCCATGTTGGGTTTCAGAGTCTCGAATCATGTGCGAGTGAATTGCTCCAGAAGTATGTTTACCAATATGGGGGTAACTAATTTTGTTCGCCTACTTCACATCAAGTTGTGTAAAGAGACAGAAGCCTATGGGCAGGGAGTATATCCACTTGGCTAACACAGACAGTCCCCGTAATATAACAAAAATAGGAAAAATCAGAATAAAATTATAGCCTAACCCTAATACTTAATTATGTGCAAACATTGCTGGACTTCTCGCAGTCGTAGGGTGTCTCACATAAGCATTTTTCAGTTACGGCTTCCCCAACCATCAAGTCCATGCTTCCGAAAACAAGTAACAGGCTAACTTATCCCATACTGGACATGAACTGGTAACCGGACGATAGACTGTGGTTCTTCATATGATTACGTCGTCTTATTGGCTTTCCTTTTCCCCGGTATAAATATGTGAACCCTATCCCCATTATTAATGAGCTCAAAAATTAGATTTTCTCAGTATTTGTAGCTAATAAGCACTGCATGAAAAAAGCGATATATAGTAAGCTATATATAGGATATAGAAAAAAATAGTAAAAGATATTTCACTCATGATAAAAGATACAAGGAAGACGTGCGATGATGCGGAATGCAAGTATCGAATAGCAAAAGCTCACAAGCATAACAGATAAGTGGATATGGGAATATAAAATTCAATATTACATTATAATATGTTAAATTTCTTATCAAACCATCACACCATAATATGGAAGTTCATTTAACTATTTTACTAGTGAATGCAAAATGTTTGAGTTCAATAGTTCAAGCAGTCCTGATTAGCTCACTATTTTGTTCATAATTGGGTGCGCCCGAAGTATGTGTACCAGTTTAGGGTTAGGCCATAATTACATGTACAAATACTACAGGAGTCACTTGGTTAGTCCCCGAACTTGTAATAAAACCAAGATAAAGAAAATTCGAATGAAATTATAGCCTAACCTGGTACACATACTACCCTCCAGTGTCTGCCATCTTGGTTCTCATACTTAGGGAATACCCATCAATCATTGGATAAATAATTTGAAAAGATCGGATGTTTTACAGTGATCCTAGGTAGATCCATATGTTTGGATGCCTTATTAGCTTTAAAAGGTAAAAACTTTTGACAGTTAAAAATCAACCATTTCAAATCAGTTTGAAGGGGGAAAACCTAAAACTTTTTTTCAAACCCCCCAATTTGCAAACCCATTGACAGTGAACATGATGAAAAAATATTTTCAGTCAAATTCAAACATAAACTTTAGTTGGAGAAATTGAAACTTGGAATTTAGTTAGATACATGGATCAATAATAACATGAAAAATTGTAAAACATGCAAAGAATGTCTGTGAAATCCATTGAATAGTCTAAACTTAACGTATAAATGATTGATAAAGTGGATCCAGCTAAAACAGTGGTCGGGAACCCATGGCCATATATGGCTCTTTTAGTGACGGCGTATGGCTTCAAGAAAAATCTAGTATTCTAAGGCTATGCTCACTATTGTTACGAGATTTCAAATTCTTTTACAGCCAAGTGTGGCAGAACATTTGCCAATATGTTTAAGAACGCGCTCCCTACACATTTCTATGTTATGTAAGAGAATTACCAGACAGGCATTGTGACAAAACTAGGGGATTCTGGAACATATTTTGTGACATCACAAAGCGATAGAATCACAGAGAAATAGAAAAAAAAGCTTTTCGTCCAAGAAAGAAAGGTGATGAGTATCGTGGATTTCAACTTGTGCTGCATGTGAGCAGTCACTCCAGACCCGCAGCGACAACATGCAGCATCAGAAGTCACATTAAATGTATATTAACATTGTATTTGTTGATTTTGAGTAAAAATTTCAGGCTTGATTAAGTGAAGAAATGCTATATGGCTCGCACAGCCAAATCCGGCCTGTTGGGTAATTGAATCTGGTCCACCCATTGCTGTCACAACTAAACTAAAACTAAATTTGATGTTTCAGCTGAAAAGTAGCTCAGAAAATGTGTTGAGATTGCGATTAAATTAAGGCTTATTGTTTTCCACTTTTGCCTTTTTAACTCTGTAACTATTGTTCATAAAATTAAACTTTTTACGTCACACACTTACATGGCCACCAGTCTAGGTGGGTAAAATTTTTGGCCCCGGGTTCGAAAACCTTGCCCACCGCTGAACTAGAATCATCATTAGGGTGGATAAGGAGAAGGTAAACACTAGGAATATGCAAGAAAGGTGTGCGACATCAAAATGCGAGCATTGAATAGGCAGAGTAACATATTGTACAAATACTATTACTTGGAGGTTTGGGTTATACTTGAGTTCTAATTCAGGACATGGTTGTTAACATAATATCAGCAAGTGAACTCTTGAGGTCACTGGTTCGAGACCAGGTTGATACGGCTCATTATTTTACTTAGTTTAATATATTAAGTAAACAGGTACAAATCCTAGGAAGAGAGGATCCATATGCTTGAATGGATACCTCCTTTAGCTTTAAAAGGGAACGAACTTTTAATTCTGTTGACAGGGAATATGATGAAAAAATATTTCTAATCAAAATGAAATGCTTGAAGAGAGATTTAGTTGGGAACATTGTATAAATCACACACTCGAGTCCTGATATGTTCAGGGTGTCTGATCTTTAAGCATTGTGGCAGATTCATATGTATAAATGAATGCTTGCTTGAGCCTTGTATGGAGAGGAAACAATTAATACTATGAAACTAATTTTGTTGATAAAAAATGAACCAGTTGAAGTTGAATAAAATTAAAGCTCGAATGACCCGGCTTCAAGGATTATTCGATTCATTGTTTGTGGATTCTAGCCGCCATTGAACTCAACCCCGGTATCAGCGATCAATGCTTTGAATCTGTCCAACTGATCATCGTTGAAGTTGCAATATTTCATCTTCAATGTTTCAACCTGACATTGATGAACAATTTCACTGATTGTAGATAATCCTTCATCTCTGAGTTTGCTGACTTTGTTAGTATCCAGATTCAGGAGCTTTATCTGAAAATATTAGGTTTTTCATTTTAAAATCACAAACAGCAACGCAAAGTTAATTAAGCTCTCCTAGATGATAGAATATTCATAGATAAAGGCAGAATGTATATCAGTAAAAGCAGTGCTGGATTTAGAGGGTCTGTCTAGATCAGGGGTTCTCAACCTGGGGTTCGCGAGAAGATTTCCAGAGGTACTTGGATGACAGTCGAGTTTTTGTATGTTGCTGTTTCTTAATATCCTTTATTACTACCATGGGAAAATGCGTGGCCAATGAAACTAGACGCCAATCGAAACGTAGATTTTCCCTGATCTTGCGTTGTTGTGATTGTGACGCAACAATGTGAAATTTAGGGCTTTGCATACAAACTGTGAAATCTCTAAAGAGAGCGTGCTGCGAGCATTAGAAAAGTGATTATGCTTATTGTAACTTGGGGGAGATTTTAAGAATTCATTAACTAGGCAAACGACAAGGGCAACAATATCAACAACACAATTTAATTTAGCTTCATATGGTCAATAAATTGGTGTTGCAACAAATTGTTAGTCAATATATCAGTATATCACAACTTTGTTTGGTGTCTGATTACCAGGGGGTTCGCGTTGACTGTTTCGTGACTCGGGGGGTACTTGACAGAAAAAAAGTTGAGAACCCCTGGTCTAGATCAACGATTCTCAACCACAGGTCCATGTCAACCTTCCTGCCTGTTCGCCAGCTATAATCCAATATTATATCTTAATAGCAAAATGCAAGGCATTGATGACTGCCCATTTATTTTTAGGTGTTTGATGCCTAAACCAAACTTGGTCAGAGATCCTACGCTCATTTCAAGCCCTGAACGCTGAATGTTTTTGTTTGGTGTATGACATCATAAAGATGTTTACTTGAAAAAATACATTGAGTGGCGTGCGCAGAATTTTGTGTTTCCATAGCTGACATTGGCAAGCTACGGCCCCCAGGCCAAATCCAGCCCAGCCCACCTGATGTTACCACAACCGAACTAAAACCAAATTTTGATGTTTTAGCTGAGGATAACTCAAGCAATTTGTTGAAATTCCAATTAAATTTACTTTCGGCACGGTGCTTATTGTTTCTTACTTTCGCCTATGTAACACTGTAAAAAATTGTTCATAAAATGTAACTTTTACGTCACACTTACATGGCCCGCCAGTCTGGATCGGCAAAATTTAAGGCCCCAGATCCAGAAACCTAGATTTTCTTCAAATTGCCTTTACGCTGTTTACTTTTTATGCTCAATGTTTCATCTTACCTTTGCATCGGGAGTGTTTTCCTTGAACGCTTTCATTCCTTCTGCTGTCAGATTGCACTCCCAAGCCCTGAACACCTTCACCTGACATTGTGTAACATCTAATCCAACTTCAGCCCAACCAGCAGTGCCAAGATCCCTGTTGCCACCGACATCCAGTTCATACAACTGAAATAAATGAGAACTGTAAGAATATTTGAAATGGTGAGAACCTGAACAAAGCAATTGATTAACCAGTAATAAAGAATCCCAAGCAGAAAAGCTGTGGGAGGAAATGAATGAAGTGGTCTGAATAGATATCCACTGACACTAAAAGCAGGAAGCTAAAACTTGCAGTGCTCAAATGAATACTATAAAGAAGAAAATGCTTTACTGCCAAAGATTCTCCAATAAGAATTCATTTTATAGCCTTGTTTGAAGCTGAACCAATCCGTATGCGATGATTACCTAGTTGGTTTTCTGCAACACTAGCTATGGGGCGGCCACGGCTTAGGAGTTAACGAGGCATATACCGCAAACATGTTACCACCATACATAAGAAATTTCAACCCCAATTTTTTTTAAACATTCTGGATCAGATCGAAAACTGGAAATAGTGGAAAAATTGGCCTTCATTTGGGTGATACCGAAAATATGGCCAATATTGCAGATACCGATACCTGATACATCTCTAGTAGGTACTAGTACATAAATCTCCAGAGTCCAAGTCAAGTCTCGTATGAAAACGATTCAAATCAAATTTTAACTGTGTCAGGTTCACCAATTAAAGCATTGGAACCAAGTCCATTCGAGTCCCCAGTACGTCATGATTCAACCGATGGACTCGTGTATACAATCGCCGAAGAGTCCCAAAATGGATGAAGGAAAGGAATTCATCGAAGACTGGGAACCACTGAGGCAGAACATAGAACCACTTGAGCTGGACGAATCTCTATGATACGAGTTGGAACAATTAGTGATCTTGAATGGAAATACTTTTATCAACTTCCAATATTAAGTTTACCTTCAAACAGGAACCTTCTAAATTTGACTTCAGGATGTGAACCAGTTCAGCATTGAGATTTTGGAGTTGAATAGACAAACCCGAGTTAGTTGGTTGCAGCGTCATATATCTGATGACATTACATGCATTCCTGCTGTAGTGAAGAATTTTCTTCTTCTCATCTTGTCTGGCATCTGGTAAGTTAAAAATAATTTCAGTTTGGGAACTGTAAACATGATCTTTGAGACGGGGGTTTGCATCCAGTGGGACTTATTAGGAGCTAACAAAATACTAGATTGGCCATAGTTATAGGGCAGTACAAATGACATAACTACAGGCCTGGCTCTCCTTCGCCAGATTGTATGTCACAATTCAATATACAATAAATCAGTCTTGTCAACTTTTTTCAAACCCATGAAAGTTAAAAGATGTCAAACAAATTCAAATATGGAGTGCTCCAGAAGTATGTGCACCAAGATGTCACACAACCTGAATCCTAACCGGTACACACAGGAGGTTCAAATATGGTATAAAAGAGTAAGACATAACAATACATTTAACTTACCAGGAGAAAAGTTTGTTAAGAGATTGCTTTCAATATCAGGATTCAGAATAATTCCACCCAATAGATGGCGAACAAATGCCCAATGATCATCTCGGAACTCAGTTTCGATAAATGTGCGAAACGAAGTAGAATCCTTGTTTGAAATATAAATAGCGGATAAAACTTCCTGAAGGACTTGATGGCTGAAGAACATCAGATAGTCTCCTTCCATGAGATGTTGATTAAACATGTTTTTCCCAGGTACCTTGATGATAATGTCACGAACTTCATTATATTGAAGTTGAAATTTTGTGAGATCATTAGTCGTGAAAATGACTAGTTTCTTTTTTGTGCCTTCGAAGGACTTTTTAATTTTTTTGAGAAAAGTACATGGTGAATATTACTCATAAATATATTAAAGAAGTGAACGTTCGTACATATAATTTAGATAGGATAGAATTCAGATATTTATCCCGGGGCAAAGGAAAGTTGATAAGAACTACAGTCTCTTGTCCAGTTACCAGTCCATTTGGGATATTGGACTAGTTACGTAGTCATTTATTGTTTTCAGATGCATGGACTTGATGGTGGATTAACCGTATCCAACCAGCGGTTACTTTTTGCGTTCGTGAATGTCCCAACACATGTTAAATCCGTTTGTCTGGTACTGAGACTCTCAAAGTGGGCAATAATCCCCCTCCCCCCCTGGAAGTGAACGAGAGTTAAGACATGGGGCAAGGGGCAACTGCGCATTATTGAGAATAGGGATAAATAAAAATCACCGATTGTTTTCTTCAGCATGACATGGGTATTTAAGCCGTGAACATCAGTATTATGTCGGCAAACTATATTATGTCGAATAATCCCTATCTCTTGGTACCGTTGAATTTATCCAATAACTTCATGATGACCTCAATTGTTAGATTGTGCTGTCTTTAATATGAACGTTAGTCTAGCTGTTGAACTTCTTTTTCTCTGCAGCTGCCGAAATTTGCCATCCTCTGTAATAACGTCCCATTAATCGTTATGTCTACGTATTTACAAATTACAAACCGTTTTTGATCATATTGAGTTTTGTTCCTCCGGCCCAGTAACCAAATCTATTATCCGAATCCGGCCCACTCAGAAAAGTAATTGCCCACCCCTGGTATAGATCCACAGAGGAGCACGTGGCGAATTCAAAAAACCTTTTTTCAAAAGAACAGAATTACAAACTCACCAACGAACTCTGAGCTGAATCTGTCCACCATTCCTTTCACAATGAATTTAGACGGAAGAGGCTGAAAAGAGAAGAAAAGGGATGAACACTTGAAAATACTGAATAGAAATACCATACATATGATTCGAACATACTTCAGTTGTTAACTACAATTCCTCTATACCAGGGCTACTCAACTGGCGAACCACAGTCCGAATCCGTACCTTTCGAGTACTTGATTCGAACCGCATCTGATTATTTATTTTGGATCATTAGTCCCACATTTGAAGTTTCCTTTTTATAAAATGACTTTTATAGTTTTGAATATATATGAAAAGAACTATATTGTATGCGGATCTTCGATTAAAATAGTTGCTCTGCCCTGCTCTATTCTATTGAAACTAAATCGAAAGTCCAAGACTTTGAGCAGACTCATGTGAAAACATATATATAGAAAACTTTAGGCATCTTTCCCCAACCAGAAAGGAATCCCTGCCCAAGAAAAATACTAAAACATTTTTCTGCATTCAGTGTAGTTTTGTTGCTAAGATAGTCTAGTATTAACCTAGCGGTTCCCAACATTTTTTAGTGTTAGAGCCTAATTTCAAAACTTCAAGTTGTGAAAAGCTACATTGAAAACAACACAAGTTCAAATAGCAAGAAAACAAACACCAGAAACAATGAAATGAACTGCTGAACATCAGTCTTTCAATTTCAAGTCATTGATTGATTTAAATAATTTTTTTTTTACAAAGATCGCGAGTAAATGGCTCGTTAAATACCAAAAGTTTTTTATATGTTCAGTGATCAGTAGTTTATTTTTCCTAAAAATGCACAACACACATACAAACTATAATAATATTACATAAAAAAATTGCATTTCAGGATTAAGGGAGACACGAAAAACCAATACTAGTTATCAAGCGGTTCTTCCAAATAAGTCTATAAGATAATGATAAGTGAAACTATATATATCAAGGTACTGATTACCAATCTTGTCACACTGCAATGCCACCCGCACACTTCAATATTGTAATAATGTTAAAAGAATTATGTTACGTCAAAAAAATTTTTGCATAGCAGAGCAATTCTCACAGTAACAATGACAATATTAGTTCCAAAAAACAAAATCACTGTGAATACCGGTATCAGATGAGTGGGGTTTGCTTCTTCTAATTTCTCTCGAAGCCAAATAAAATCTTGGTATTGGCGCCGACCTTTGTATTCAGAGTCATCGAACGTACCTCTGGTCGTCTAAAATAGAGAAAAAAAATTTGACTGTTTTGCTTGTTTCAGAAAATTGTGATGGGTAATAATAAACGCGCAGGGGTAGGCGCATGTGCTAAACATAAGAAATACGCTCGCCATTATACTTACAAAAAGAATTTTGAAACCCGAGGTGGACTCCCTAGTCCAAACTTAACCTACCGGGGAGAATTCTGCCCTGTCAAAAAAACTTGTAGTTTTATGGAAAAAATTTTGCTTTGTATTCACTAATTACTAATATTCTTTAGCTTGTTCTCATTACTTATCGATCTTGATCGGTAAGTATGTTGATAGGTATTTGTCTGTTTGTCTATTAGACACTTTCGTATGTTACGCGATATCTCACGAAAGAGAGGTTGAATCTGCTCCAAATTTTGCAAATGCATTCATCATATCTCGGACCAGAAGCCTATTGATTTTGGATGAATTATGTTGTATAATTAGCGAGTTATTAATTAATTAGTGATGGGACATGCGGTGTCACTATTTGAGTCAAAGGAAAGGATACACGCTGCTAGATCGATGAGTCGGCAGTCTCTGATCGCCATTCTCATTATTATATTACTGATACTATTTATGCACACATAAAAATAAACTTAAAAAACTGTACAAAAGCGAGAGTACGACTTCTGCATAACACTAGTTAGGAATATATTACAGATTAAATAAATTAAGTAGATTTTATGCTTAGTGCGGGAGGAATAAAAAGTTCCAAAACAGACAAAAAAAAGCAATATAAAAAAAGGTTGGGAACCACTGGCCTGGTAACAAGTTTAGATTTCATGAATTTTTCCCACAAGAAATCGGGCATGCAATCCAAATTTAAAAAACCTGGCATGCACTCAGTGCCCGGGCGTGAAATGGGAAATTCAACAAAAAAGGTTGAGAACCTGGCATGCAATCAGTGACAACGACACGGCAAATGTCTGAACTTGCGTTCAAATTTACCGAAAAAGTGTGGAAAATTAGATTTCAAGCTTCAACTGACAGAATGACCATATTCGAAAACGTACTCAAATAAACAAATGTAAGCCTGTAAGGTTTATTAAAACATCCCAACTTTGACGCACATTGCTATCTCGCAAAACGACGGCTGCGATGCGTTTTTTTGCATGTGTCAAAGGTCAATTAATCTTCGCAAACAGAACGCAACTAAAGGTACAGTAACAAAATTCCTTACGTTTAAAATGATTTATAATTATAATTTTAAATTGATTTCCAATCGAAAGCCGAAAGGTCAATTAGTCAGTTTATGATGTTAGAACCTGTTAGCTTTGATTATTCAATACTGTCAGATATAATGGTGACTGGTGAGCAATCACGAATTTTCCAGCGTGCAAAATGGATTTGTCATGCAATGAAATACAGTCTGGAGCCACAAACCTTTATAGATACTTGATATGAAATATACGTCTCCATCGATAGAATGTTTTTTTCCGGTTTTTCTACAGTTACGAACAAATCTTTCTGGTCATCAAATTCCGTAGAGAGACTTCTGTTATTTGATATCGATTTTTAATTTTTGCTAACGAGCCATCATTAACGAGATCAATGATGTCACCATCGTCCTGTTATTAAAAATAAATTTAGAATAAATAGTTGAAGTGACTACGTCACCAAAAAATAATGTCACTACGACGTCCCAGTAGCGTAATGAAGGCCTCCATAGTGTACGGATAGTCATCCAAAGCGCATCTGCCATTGTGCCAGACACCACTCGTTTGTGAGACACATAGTGTTAGATAGATAGTATTTTTGAAAACTCCATAACAAACATAAAGTAAAAATGGAGAATTCTGGAGAGCAGGCAAAAACTATAAAAATGTTTAAAACGTGAGAAGTATCTCATGTGCCTGCCCACCAGCACTCACACAAAAACACAAGCCCAATTAAATGAGGCTTGGGCCAAACTTAACAAACAAAATACACGATAGTATTAAACTTCCGGGCTGTTGTACTTTTAATAATTACGTTGATAATGACCAATACAATCTCATGCAAAGATAATGTGGGGAGTGGAATGTAATAAATTGGCGACGATAGTCATACTCATGAAGCCATGAAAGCTTTAAGAAAAACCAAGCCATGAAAAACTACACTGATTGCTAGATTGGGCATTGCGGAAAAGGTGATAAGTGGTTTATTATACTAACAAATGCAAAACCATGACAGTAAATTCGGTGTGC